TTAGAAGAAACATAATAGTGTAATTTCTGAAATCGTCAATATTCCAAGACATTAACGTAGAAGTGCAAATATTGCACAGAAATGTAATGCTTGGATTTCAATTCCATCTTTTAGAATAAAGGTAGAGGGGTAACTTCTTATAGCATTCAGATTTGTTTTCACTCTTGCTGAGTGTTGGAATTACCATAGTAATATAATCAATAGAAAAGATTTGTAGCATCATGTTTGTTTTTGTCTTGGCCAGTGTTTTATTAGAACGATCCTTTATTACTAATCAAATATGCTTTACAGCTCTATGTTTTTTCTCTCATTTCCTGCTTCCAAACTTCCGTTACTTCCAAACCTTTGAATGTTTGTCGATACTAACGTTTGATTCTCGTATCTCTTGCCTTCCAGCACAGACACACCCTGAGATACGCACGTACATACAGACAGATTTATACCCTGCCCCACACAGGCAGAACGCATTGGCATTATCACTAATCAGAGGTTGCAGTGTCACAGCTAGGAGGCTAGGCTTGTCAGTTTAATGAATAATCTGTTGCTACAAACAATCCTACCAGACCCCCAAAACGTGATGCAGTGGAAGGATTCTCCTTTGAAAACCTATTGACTCATCTGTCTGTTCTTCTTCGTAGTGATTCAAGTTGCAGTTTTAAGATATTTTAGACATTTATTCTCTCACTCTTTGCCAGGCCCTCAGGGTGAGGTTTCTGGAATGATGTTTCCCGGTGTCTTTCAGGCAGAAAAAGAGAACTGGGGAGGAAATGGCAGACTGGTGAGTTTCTCTGATGGGCCCCAGTTTCTTGTATGTGGGCTGCAATTTAATTTTAAGCTCCTCTTACAATAGTAAAGATGTGATGTGTGCTGCAGAGGAACAGTGAGACAGTGTGTGAATGTGTACACACACTTTTTGTGCCAGTGTATAACTGTGTATAACTATGAGCAGTGTTAACAGTATCTGTACAGTCTCCTGCAGTTTTAGCACAGTCAGTGGTGCGTGTGTGGATGAGTGCTCAGTGAATGAGTGTGATCGGCTTGTCAGTGCCATTCTCTCCATCAGACCTTGCGGATGGTAGCAAGGAAGGTGGCTCTTCTCTCCTGTGTGATCCGAACCTTGATGAGCATTGCAGAACGAGCACTGGGGTTCAGATACTGGGCAGACCAGGGACAGCGCTACAGCACACCCACAGTGAGTACACAACAGCTAACTGAGCTTGGTACAGACATATTTGCAATGTAGTAAATACTCCAGCCCTAGTCTCATTCCTAAATTAATGCCTAATGACGCAGCTTCTGTATAAGGGACTGGATCAGCATACTAATACTGTATGCAATGTATATATAATCCCAGGTATATATGGCCAGTAGAATAATTATTGATGGAATTGTTAAAATGAAAAATTAATTTTAAACGAATCAATAAAATATTATTTATTTATAAGATTTTTGACTCCTGACCTAGGAGCAGCACCTGGGGGAGGCAAACTCTTTGGACACTGACCTCACCTTTGACTGCAGCAGCTTCAGGAGCCAATATGAGGTTAATCTACCTGTCCGACGGGGCAGGAGCCCCTGCTATCCCACCCATCTATGTTGTTTTCATTCTGTCTCGTTCCTCAGCTGTCTTTCTCTGACACTTCTACATGTCTGTTTCCCTTCTCCTGAAGTGCACACAAGCCCGACTGTCGCCTCTCTTGCACACTCCAGGTCTGTCTCTGTCCTGTTCCTGTCTTCCTGTGCCACCCCCGTCTCTCTGTGTCTATTCTTCCTGTCATCTCTATCAGTCTTCATGTGCTCCTGCCCTGCTGTTGTCTGTCTGCAGTTTCGGCTTCCAGCACGGGCCTTGTGCGCGGCCTCATGCCCGCCAGCGTGGCGCTCAGAGCCCGACCTGCGTTTCCTGCGCAGCACCCTGCGAACGCTGCCCAGCTTCCGACGCTACTCCCCCCACATGCAGCTCAAGCTGGCCAAGGTGATCCGCTATGAGAGGTGAGCTGCCAAGATTGGGGCACCCACACTCTTTCTCTGCAGTATGACGGACATAAAATGCCTCTGGCAAAGTACTGTCATGCCAGCAACTCATCTGTTGACGTGAGCACATGGAAGACAAGTAAAGAGCCACCTATCTCGTCTTCACCAAGCTGAGTCCTGTGCTCTGAATGTCTCGTGGTCAGATAAGGTCAGGTGATGTGTTTAACATCATAATACACAGCTTAGGGTGGCACGGTAGTGCAGTGGTTAGCATTGCTGTGTGGCAGCACTGGGCCCTGGGTTCAGTAATGGTGCTATCTGCAAAGAGTTTGTATGTTTAGGTGGATGCTGCACGTTGGTGCTGGTGGAAGGGAGTCCCCATTACCTGTAAAGCACTTTGAGTGAAGTAGCCAGAAAAGCGCTATATAAGTGTAAGGAGTTATAAAAATTATTATTATGTCCTCCCCACGTTCATGTGGGTTTTCTACAGGTGCTCTGGTTTTTGCCCATAGTCTAAAGACATACTAGTAGTTTAATAGGATTCTGGAAAATTGGCCAAGTGATGGGCTGGTGTCCCATCCAGGGTGTATCCTGCCTTGTGCCTGTTGCTTGCCGGGATAGGCTCTGGCTCCCTGAATTGGATGAAGCAGTTAGAAACTGGATGGATGAATACACAGCTTGCTAGGTGAGTTATAATGATTAGCAAGAACAGACAGTTTACAGTATGAGAATATTGGAACCTGTCATATCCTTAAGACATTATTGACATTATCCCAACCACAATCTATAAACCAACAATTCACAGCCACAGGAGAGACAGCATGCAGTGCTACAATCAGACAGTCACAAAGTAATGCTAAATAGACATATGCTTGCTAAAATTTAATTTCCACTTCATCAGAAAAGAGATTAAAATGATGAGTTATAATGTTCTTGTCTGTTCTTGTCATCCGTGCTCTCTCATTTTTCCCCATCCTGATTCGTCTCCAAACTCCTTTTTCCCCTCCGCACTCCCTCTCCCACTCCCTGTTTCTTCCCCTCCATCCCACCCTCTCCTCCAGGTTTGGGCGGGGCCGGGTGGTAGTGAAGCGAGGCCAGAGAGGCAGCAGCTTCTACTTTGTGTTCTCTGGTATCATTGCGGTCACTCAGGATTTGGATGGCAGCTCTGCCTTCACTGACCAAGAGCCAATCCTCATGAGGAAGGGGGCAGGCTTTGGGGTGAGTGAGTGGTTCATGAGTCAATCCTCAGGAAGAAGGGGGCGGGCTTTGGGGTGAGTGAGTGGTCCAGGAATCAATCCTCATGAGGAAGGGGGCGGGCTTTAGGGTGAGTGAGTGGTCCACGAGTCAATCCTCATGAGGAAGGGGGAGGGCTTTGGGATGAGTGAGTGGTCCACAAGCCAATCTTCATGGAGAAGGGGGCAAGCTTTGGAATGAGTCAGTCGTCCACCAGTTTAGTTTAGTTTATTTGTCATATGCACAAGTGCAATGAAATGCTTATTTGCATGTACAGTATGTTCCAACACAAAGACATTAAAGGAATCGCCACAAACATAAACACAGAAGAGCAGCAGCAATTACAACACGTTGAATAACATACAACTTAAAAAAAAACATCAGTGTGAGCCAGTGGTAGGGGTAATCAGTAATCTGACAGCTTATGGGAGAAACTGTTGCTGAATCTGGAAGTTTGTGCCTTTATGTTCCTGTAACACTTACCAAAGTGAAGGGGGGAGAAAGAAAAGTGAGATACCAGGATGACTGGTATCCTTAGCGAACCAGCCAATCCTCATGAGGAAGGGGGAGGACTTAAGGGTGAGTGAGTGGTTCATGAGCCAATCCTCATCAGGACGGAGGTTTTGGCATTACTGAATAGACCAGTGGTTTAATGCTGTGGTTTTTAAAAACCGTATATAATTATGTATAACTGAATTAGCTTAGAATCATTTAGTAGTAAGCAACCTTGTATGGATGGGTTAATGTCTTTACAAACTGAGGTAGCAGAGGGTTTGTTTCCTCCTGTTCCTGTTGTGGTTTGAGTCAATAAAGAGAAATCCAGAATGATTTAAATAGTGATTAGAATTATGTCAATAAAACGTATGAGGAAACTGTTTGAATGTTTATTTTTGCTGTAAGATGACACTGATACTATAAGAGATAACTTTGAAGACATATTACACTAAAGATAGGTAACACCCTCTCACAGTAAGTGAAGTGTTTGAGTTTGTTACTCACAGCAGAAAATTTGTTTCAGTGCCCCACAGATTTCACTAGGACCCCAAAAGATCACACATGCTTTTCACAAAAGACCCACTTTATCCACCTAAGTGGTGCAGAACTCACGTGGGTGACATGTGACAGCTATTATGCGACAGCAGCCCCACTACACAACTGATCAGAGAAACTGCTTCTCAAATTGAATTAACTTTAGAAAGGTCAGATTGTACAAGTGCAGAGTGGACATTAATCAGAACACTGGGGTAAACACCCTCACTTTTCTAAAAATGCATTGGAATTTTTAATGACCAAGGCAGGACCTCGGTCTCTTCCAGTGGACAGAACCTTCCATAGCACAGTGTTCATCATCATCACAGCAGGACACTGGTTTGGAAATTCTTGTCCAGAGAGAAGATCACCTTCGGGTCTACCCACACCACTTTTAGCAGCAACCTGAATTTCTCTGGAGGTCTCCTAACCCAGATCTGGCCAGCCCCAGCCTTACTTAGCTTCTGAGACCTAACAAGATCAGGCTACAAGGTGGTAATATTTCTGCCAATATTAGCTCTTAATGACTTGAAATAATTATTGGTCTAGTTATTCAAGGATAATGTGGACTTTATTTAGCCTTGGACAGAAGTAAACCATGAACCCTGGAGCCCCCTGATTAAATTTGCTAACTGATAATAATGAACCCTACGTGGCGGCAATTGAGTGAGTCAGTGTTTCCCCCCATGTGCAGGAGGTGGCGCTGTTGAAGGGCCTGAGGCGCAATGCCACTGTAGTGTGTGTGGAGGATACAGAGCTTTTGGTGGTGGACAAGGAGGACTTCTTCAGTCACCAGCTAGACCAGGAGCTACAAAAGGAAGCCCTAGAGAGATACAGCTTCTTCAGGTCAGATAACACGTAAAGAAACATGCTCATACATTTGCTAGACATTTAATCCCTGTCTCTTGTTTTCAAATACTTTACTGTGAGTTAATGTACAAATTGCATGAACTGAAGGAGAGAAATAATATTGAGTGTAAAAAGAAATGGCTCCATTTATGCATATAATTTTAGAAATCTAAAGTAAAATAAATAGCTGAATTATTGGAAAGGATTAGAGCAACTTTATTCTTTTCTAACACTTGTTTAGAAGATGATGCTAAACCATTAAGTCTTGTTCAACACTGACACAAACAGGAGTTACAGTCCTGTTGTCTATATATAGTATTCAATAAGCATGATTTACTCAAAGAACACGTTAGTGCTTTCTACTTTTTTAAAAAAAACTTTAAATTAATACACTTTAATCTGGTTGCAAAGAAATTAAGCTTGCACAGCAGTGTATAGTTTTAAATTTTAAGTTCACAATTGTAGATGCAAATGTATGGGCAATTTACAGCAAATGCCATGTACCTGTATTAAGTTCTTAAATCCCAAAATGGTTCTATTACACAGGTTGGATTGTGGGTTCAATTGGGTCTTCAGGACTGTTTGGTGAAGAGAGCTGTGTAATTCCATCACGTGGCCATTCTTGTTCTCAGGTCCCTGGCCTTGTTCTCCAGCTGGTCAGATGCTGCTCTTGAAACACTGGCTGATCATTGCAAGACAGAGCAGGTCCATCATGACCAGGTGGTCCTGAGAGACAGCAGCTCCACCACCAGCCTTATCTTCATCACCAAGGTACCGCTCATGCACTGACATGTGGTCAATCTGGCTAGATTAGCTGGTGTTTTAATAAATTGTCCCTAAATTCTTGTGTTTTGTGCCTTTTGAAGGGGCTGTGTCCCAGCCAGAGTATAGTCCTTTCTTAGAGCCCTGTACTTCTGGGATAGGATCTAGGTTACGTAGGTTACCATGGTCTTTACAAAGAATAAACAACTTTCTCATTATGGATGAATGGTCCTGTCAGCACAAAATTACTTGGAATAAGATCACAAGTATGAAAAAGGAGCATATGTTCTTGTTTTATATAATAAAAACCTGCATCACTGTAGGAGTCCTTGCACTTAGCTAAGGCATCTGACTTTAATAAACATTGCCCTTCATCTTCTTACATTTTTACATTCACTCTGCTGCAGATAGTTCTTGTTTTAAGTTTAGCTCAGAATCTCTTCCTTACAATTTACTGGAGAGTAAATTTATTGAGACTGTGTAGAGATCAAGTATTGTAAAAAATGTAAGAGTCCATTTCATTCATTGGTTTTATTGTGTTACAGAAAACAATAATAATGTTGTTTCTTTATTAGCCCTATACAATTTCTTGCATTAGGAATTCATCTCTTTGTATATCCCAGCTTTTCTCCATGGAGACACAGACAGGGAGAGAAGCTTGGGGTCAGAGCACAGGGTCAGCCATTGTACAGCACCCCTGGAGCAGTTACAGTAGGGTTAAGGGCCTTGCTCAGGGGCCCAACAGAGCAGGATTCTTCTGCCAGCTGCAGGATTTGAACCAGCAACCTTTCAGTCACAGGTGCAGATCCTTAGCCGTAGAGCCACCACTCCGCCAGCAAGGAAGACTGGAAACTAGTCAATCTAATCTATTCTAGAACATTCATCCTATTCTATTCTATATGTTCCATGGTGGGCTTCACCTCAAAGTGCAATACAGTGATCAGAGTAGATGTCATAAAGATGCAGTATTCTATTTCTAAACATTGAAGAGCATATTCCTGCAGGATTGTAACCAGTATTTTGCTGTCTGTTTAAGAGCTTAATCAAATACTGTAATGGATGATCAAAAACTCAAAGACCCTATGACAAACTTAAGGCCATTCACAACCCTTCATGATTCAGAGGACCAGACTATACACTCCAGTTCCTGCAGTGTTATATAAACAGAGATTGTAGGACTTCATCTGAATGAGACATTGATTTATTATAAGCTGGATCACATCCCAACTCCATCACAAGTACCAGCAATGCTGGTACCTGTTTATATGGTCGGGTTTACAGGAATAACCAATGGCAAAGTACAAAGAATACAAAGCTTTGCCCACATTTATAACCTCTGGTTAAGAATCCAGAGTGCTAGTCTACTCTTTAATGTTCCCTTTACCATACTGTGTTAACGTTGTCCAGGGAGGCCCCATTACTGTTTGGGACAGATTGATTTCTAAAAACCTTATTCTGTGTGAAACAGCAGCATAAAATCGATTCTGTTCAACATGACCAAGATACATCTACTGTAGCACATAACAAGTGTTTTAGCAACACTTTATTTACACTTCCAGCTTGTAAACAGTGTCAGATAGCCTGTGCTGATATCTGGTCACAGTCAAACACTTTGATGGAAGTTGAGCTTTCCTTGTGTGACAAGCTGCCCATTTCCTAGTAACTCAGAAAACATAGAAATTGTGCTCTGTGAAACTTTGGATGTAGTTCAGCTCCGTCCCTCAAGAGCCACAATCCAGAAAGCCTCAAATGTTTCATTACTCTCATAATCTGTAAAAAGTATTCAGTTCAATGATTAGAAGCTCAATAAAACTGAAAATCAGAAGGCAGTATAGATCTCAAGGACTGGTGCTATAGTCTGCTGCTTTAAAGAACTCTTCTGCTCCTGTCTGGCATCTAAAACATGCACAGTGACAGCTAGGAGATCCTAAACTAACCCAATACTTTGATTGCATTATGTATTTTCCTTTGTCTAGAATATCGAATGAAGCTTTAGAATATACTTTAAGCTCTAAAATTCCAAAAGAAATGTAGTCGGAAATTAGTAGTTTCAGGCTTATAACAGTTGTTTCAGTTAATATTTTAATACAAATACAGATTCCATCCTCATGTTCAAGGTTTGAATAGTCCAGAAATTTACAAACATTTTAGTCTAGGTGCTTGTCTTAATAGCATAGCATAGCTACAGTATATGTCTTAATGAGGAATGATTATCTATACAGATTCTAACAGGACAGAACACAAGTAACAGAGACAACAAATGTCAAAGAGTTGTTTTTTCCTCACCAGTTTGTCTGTTTGTAGAGTAGGTCTGATAAAGAATAAGGTACCCACAGTTTAATCTGTTGTCCATCAGTGGACAGCTCACAGCAGCCTCTCACTAATCCACTGAAGTGTCAAACTGATTAACTCCTTAAACCAGCATCTTCATGGTCACAGAAACTGACAAAATATTTTTGTCCAAATATGAATATTCATCTTCCATAGGTTAATTGACTGTAACAATTAGAATTTGGAACAGTAATTTGCAAGATAGCTTTGACAACTGTTAGGAGTCAATCAAACATAATAATTTACAGTCTCACACATGGATTCTAAATACACAATGTATTGGTACAACACCAAACCATGCATAACAACCAACACATTTTATAGAATATTTTTGTGAAATTATCTGTTGTAATATTAAAGGTTGATCTTTCACTCATGGATTCCAAAGATCAAAGTTAATAATATCAGAGTTCAAATATCGCTTATAATGTGTTATGGTCTACCTCATATGTTATATCAGTTTCATATACAGTAGTTAAATAACATTTATATTGTCACATACAAGAAAATTTGCATTTATTATCATGAGCTAAAATATCAAACATATTTGGAATAGTAGTTCAACTCTGGAAAATTATAATGTGAATGAAGAAATTTTATACTCAAAGATCTGTTGGCCAAATGTTTCTTGATGAAAAGACAGAGCTGTGCTTGGTTTGGTCCGTGTTCTGACTTGGCAGTTGTTTGCTCTGTGAATGGAGTGTCACAGTACTGAAAGAAGTAAAGAGTGAACTTTGTGTACTGTTACTCGCAGTGTATGTCTTTACTCTGCAAGGAAGTCAGCATTATCCTAAACTTCTGTGTTTAAAAGTCTGTGCACGGTCATCTGCTTTGGCCCAGCTGCATGTAAATAACAACTAGCACACAAAACACAAGATTTCTTCTGTAATCTTGGGAGGAATTCTTTTCTCTACTGACTCTCTTGGCTTGGTGTCTTGGAGAAATGTTAAGTCCTGACTCGGACTGCTTGTAGTCACGTGGTTGGGAAAGTCAGATTGTCAGGGTAGTCTGAAAGAGAAGAAGGGAAGGTAGTCTGTCTTCCCAGACCTGCTTTGCCAAGGCAACAAAAAGATTATTAAAAGTGTAATAATATGCCTCACCGCTACAATATCAAGATAATACCAATAGCAGCATATTCACCCTTACAAAAGTACACCTTTAATACCAGATCCACATGCTTTGCAAAGGATATCCCTGAAGAGTAACAATGCTCAAACAGAGCACTGGCATTATGATTTGAGTATTCAGAGCACGTCAATGTTTCTGTTCATTTGAAGGTCCTTCTTAAACCTTTGGGATGAGTCTTTCCAGTATGGGGCTACAGACACCTGCCTTATAACCTGTGTTGCACACATGGGGCTGAGGGATCCGAATGGGGATAGTCTTCTTTGTAGTTAGTAATTCTCATTAGGAAAAAAATGCACTGCAACATCAAGGAGAGACGAGCTGCCTACTGACTGAAAAGAGCAGGACATTGTGTGCAAAGGGAGTCAGTTCAGCTTGGGCTCAGAGGCAGGTGGAGAACACAACCAGCTTTCCTGTTCCTCTGTGCAGGGTCAGTGTGATGTGCTGCGAATGGTGGAGCTGAGCCAGTGCTCCTCCTATCACAGGTGGATCAGGCAGCAGCGGGCACTGCTGGACAAAACACAGGGCAGGACACTGACAGGTGAGACATCAAAGTGAGGGGAGAGTGAGAAAGAGTGCACAACTGAACAAGAACCAAGGGAAGACCGGTGAGGTTGACACAGAGCTAGAATATGTATTGCCAAATATTTTCAGCATTCATATGTGACATTTTCATCTGTTTGTGAAATAATGAGGTTTCCGTGAATAGTCTGACATTAAACTTTCACAAATATAAAATAGAGATGAGTTACACAAGACCAGTTTTAGAAAATATGATTCTCTTTTCACATAAAGTCTGAGTTTTCTAGTTTAGGCATCTTCAGCCCTGGTATTTGCAGGTCACTATTGAATCACCATTGTCTTAAGATATGAATGAGTAAATCACCCATTGTGATCAATTTAATTGGTAATTTGTAAGTAATTAAGTAATTTAGAGATGCAGGACTAAATACTTCAAAGTCTACCAGTAATTGCCAATCTTTAAAAAAAGGTGAAATATGAGCCTGACTGGACTGGGTCTCTCATGGACCAGGGTTGAAGACCTCATTTATAGTTGAACTATTTATTTATTTAATTGAACCAGATTAACCCTATATCCAGTTTTAAAGAATTCAAAACCCTGTGACTCTCCTAGAGAAAAAGAAGATTTAGAAAAATGTAGTTCATATTAGACTTTGTATTGTTAAAAAGGAATAACAGTTACTTGTATTTCACAGAAAGTGGCGAGATAGAGAAGAAGGTGTCCCTCAGGCCTCAGGACTCTCCTGCAAGCTTGCCTGCTTCAGCTTCCCACTTCCAGGCCCTGTTTCCTGAGGTTGATGTTCTCCTGGAGTCCCAGGTTCTGGGGGACTGGGCAATAAGGGAACAGGCCTTCTCATTGTCTGATAGTGGAGAGAGTGAAAACCCAGACAAAAATACCCCCCCTGGCCAGGAATCAAGCCTCAGGTACAACAGCTGACAGGTTGAAAAGGAGACAACCTTATTTTAGTATTTAGTTGTTTTTAGTGGTAAAAAACACAATGCTAAGGAGGTGTTGGAGTCCCCTAGCAGAATCTGTCTGTTACTCTGTACCTATATAGTGGTAGGAGCTGTGAACTCCTGGTGAATCCACATGCTAAACCCTAACCTTCATGCTTGCTTTAGCACAGATGCTTCTCCCTCTCGGTACTTAACTTCCATCTTCTGTACCAAACTCCCTGATGAGAAAGGAATGTTTTAATTGTTCTCTGAGTCCTTGCGTTTCTTGAGAAACTACCTCAAATACAGGAGACGGGGGGGTGTAGAGAAAAGTATATATAAGTTGTGTAGAGCCATATCCCCTCTGAGCAACAACATGATACAACAATAAGCCTCTAATGCGTAGCTCCTTGTATGCATATAATAAAACTTGGCTTGACAAACAGACACCTCAGGCTCGAATCTCTTGGTTTCTACAAAGGGAAATAATATATATACAATAAACTTCAAAGGTATTTGGACAGTCAAACGTATTTTTGTCTTTAGAGCCAAGCCATTTTAACTGTAATAATGAGAGTAATATGAATATTAAGGACAATATATACTATTTTTAGATAATTCTATGTACACGTTTGATCATATCAGAATAAAAACATTTTTTATTGTTCAACTCAACAGTAATATCAAGAGATCACACATATTAGGAGAAATTTTAATATAAATTAAACTTTATATTTAATTACAAGACAACTACATTTTCTTAATAATAATTAGATCCATTACATAACCGAGAGCTCAGGATGGAAAAATAAACAACAGAATGCAGCTCTTCTACAATTATTTGATCGTTTCAAAGTGAAGGCAAAAGTGATTTAAATAATGTATTCAATGACATATAGCTTTAGTGTTTAAAGTTTAAGTCATCCTTTCTTCTCTTGTTACTCAATTGTAGGCAATGTAATCTGCAGGACCACTTGTAATTGAGTTCAAGTAGGGAGCTGCATCAGCCTGTGTAGGCTGCAGAGGAACAAGTAAAGGTTTATTCCATGCTGAAAAGAGAAGAAAAGAAACGCAATGTTTCAGCTGCAGAGCCTTTTTCGGGTGTTTCTTTTCTTCACTTTTCAGCATGGAGTAAACCTTTACTTGTTCACTTGAAATTGATGCTGTTACATATTTTTTAAGACTCAAAAAACAAAATGAGCACTGCTGCCAGCAGATGGCAGTAGAGATTCATTTCTTGAGCAGCCCTGGTGTATGTCATTAATGATCTCTTGACTGTCTTGAGAAAGGCTTGTGGTCTGACAGACCCCTGCTGTAGACTACTTGAGAGAAACACAGGTTCATCTTCAATATAGAGGTCCACACTCAATCATCCTCCATGAGGCAGAGATCTCCAACCTTACAGCTAGTATACATGGTACCTTCCTTCAGTGTGTTTCATTTGCACTTCTGGTTTAACCTGAGATTGAATTGTACTCTGAGATCATAATGATTCTGGGCAGGTTATCACAGTGTAGGGATGCTGTTTTTCATTCACGCCATTCCAGGAATTTCAACTGTCCTGTACTCTGGATACTAATAATTGGTATCAGTGTTATGATAAGACAAGATAAGGTCACTTTATTGGCCATATACAATTTCTTGTATTTGGAATTTGTCGTTTTTCTCATACCCCAACTTGTTCTCCATGAGAGACACACAGACAGGGGAGAAGCTTGGGGTCAGAGCACAGGGTCAGCCATTTATAGGGCACCCCTGGAGCAGGTGGGCTCAGGGGCCCAACAGAACATGATTCCTCTGCCGGCTGTGGGATACGAACCGGCAACCTTCCAGCCACAGGCGCAGATCCTTAGCCACAGAGCCAACGCACAATTACTTCAAAACTAGCAGCTAAAGATCACTCATATAAGTAGGGCAGGGGTTAACAACCATAATGTCTCTCAGTTCCAAATTCTGGGTGAACTCTCCATGATCCAGTTTTAAATTAAGATAGCTTCATTAGACTGTTTACTTTGTTTTGTGCTCTTGACCTGTTTCATAATTTAAAACTTCACCTATCGAAACTTAGGGGAGTGAAAAAAAATAGGTTCAAATCAGCAACTCACTAGTTCAGCCTAGTAAATTAAAATGAAAAGGAGCTTTTGAAAGAAAACCAGAACACACTGGGGTATAAGGACCACGACTGGAAAGCTCATAACAGTCAGATATCGAATACTGTATATTCCAAGCCGTTGCAGAATACGCTTGTTTGTTGTTGTAAAAGCATTTGAGTCTAATAACTAATGCACTCCTGTGCCTACTAACCTCTCTACAGCTCATTTAAATACTGTATCACAAATTCACAAACCATAGAATCTTAGACATAGACACAACCCTATCCACCTGGCTGCTGAAATACCCTGTTTGCTGATCCTGTGGATTGTTTAATTTAACGTGGCCAATCAGATAAGTTCTTTCTTGCCTGTGAAATCTCATTCTACAGAAGGCAAATCAATCAAGTAAGTCCAATTTGCCCCCTAGCAGGAGGAGGTTGCAATCAGCTCTCATTTTTCACAAGGGCCTTAATAATTACATTGATTTTCAAACAATTGAAAATCAATTCACTTACTGTATCGTATATCCCTTTAAATATGATATAACATTAAATCCACCCATCCATTTTCTTATCGCTTGATCTCAAACAGGGTTGTGGGAGAATTGTAATCCATCCCAGCAGGCACATGCAGAAGGCAGGATACAGGAATGCCAGTCCATCACAGGGCACACACAGACACAAACACACACACTTACTGCAGTTACTCCACCTGAAGAAGGCTCCACAGCCGAAACGTTGTGTTCTCTTTCTTCTTTTTTTCAGCATGGAATAAACCTATTACTTGTTCCTTTGCAGCCTACGCATGCTGACGCAGCTACCCACCTGAACTACTACCACTTACTGCATACCAGGGCCAATCTATCCAGAAGCCAATTAACTTGCCAGTGTGTTTTTTTGACTGTGGGAAGGAACCAGAGCACCCAGAAGAAACCCACATGAATACAAGGAGAACATACAAACTCCATGCAGATAGCCCCCCAGGAATTGAACCCAGGGCCCCAGCACTGTGAAGCAGCAATCACTAACCACCTCGCCACTGTGGTGGCCTACCTCATATACTATATATTAACATATTATGTATGCTTTTATATAAAGGAAGTGATGAACAGTTGAAGAGTTTTTGTACATAATTGAATTTAAAGGGTCACTGTAATATCAGTCTTAATGTATTTATTGTCATTCACAAGTACAGTGTATCACAGTGAAGGATTTGGTGACCGGTCTCAGTAAGGCCTGTGTCTTTGCAGGAAGGAGATTGTTCCATCAAAGGAGGGTGCCGGCACCCCAGGCGGACTCCCCAGGGAAGTAGAGGCAGGGGTGTACATGCGCATCGACACGCTGAAACATGGACAGCACTTTGTAAGTCTCCTGTCCCCTCTCTCTGTGTTCTCTTAGAGCAGTGAGCTGGAGTTCATCTAGAGGTATGCCTTTCTTTATCTTTATTTATATCAGAAATTATTCAAGGTTTGAAAGTACTTCATAAGGATATGATCACTTTCCAACGAGTACCAGAGCCTTTTTCTATTTATAGGGCATCCATGATAATATATTTAAAAATGTTTTTGCAAAACAGCTCAATTGTTTCAAGGTAAAGCTATCAGCGTTCAGTTTATGCTTTTGACAGCAAGTTAAAGCTACAGAGAAAGACAGAGCATTTTAATCAGGTGAAGGTGAAGTGAGAAGCAGAGTGTTCACTGCTCCATCTCACAAAGCCAGTGTTCTTAGGGCTCACTGACCACTCACTGTCCTTCCTGTCCTTATCCAGACGGCAGTAGACATGGGATACATCCAGAGCTGTCTGGAGAGAGAGGGCAAGCTGCCGCAGGAGGTACAGTGCATGCAGGTGGTTTCTTGGCTGGGCTCCAATATTGAGATCCTGGACAATTTTTAAAACAAAGTCACAGTTCTGTATACAGATCAAGTCACATGGCTCTGTAAGGCCATAGAAACATCCGTCTTTCATTAAGGAACAATCACATTAACATTTTACAGTTGCCTTAGCTTGTGTTCATCAGCTCGGAGGGCAGTACTTGGACAGAACACGGGGATTGAGAGAAACTGCCAAAGTCACACAGCCTCCCAGCCTCATTTGTCTGTGTGTTCTGACATAGCGCCCTCTGTGGGCAACACCAGCACACTGCAGAGACCCCCGCGGCATGGTCATTGTCAGCCAGGGGGCAGAGGTCATCCGTGTGAAGCTGGAGAAGTTCAGTGAGTTGACCGACTGGGCGACCCTGGAAAAGCTCATGCGAGCAGACCAGCCCTACCCGAGGTATACATCCACTGAATGAGATGCAGTCCTGTGTAGTGCTTTGGTACGACTTGCTCCCTATATTATGGAACTAAATTAGTCAACCAATTGAATATTTAAAAAAGTAGTTTTGCCCAAATCCTTCGTGGAGAGCATTGATAAACAGTATAGGGGTTTGAACAGGAGAGGGTGACGCTGATGGAACGGTTGTAGTTGGCAACCTCTGTTGGTAAGACAGACAAAGAACAAAGTTAAAAAGGATGGGAGCAGAATCTACATTAAATTGCTGGTCAATTTCAGCATATTGATAAAAAATTGCCTTCAATTGCAATTCAAAATAAATGTATTTAAATGCAGGTAAAACCACCTAATTAGAACAACATGGGAAGGTCTTTAAGCTTTAAGCTTTGAGGAACTAGAATTTGGGGTTCTGGCAGATTTCCTTCAGATGGAGAACCCCCAGTTCAAATACATTTCATTCAACAAGGAGTCCAGTTCACCAAAAGATTAGCAACTATCCCCTCTCAAAGTTTAAGGCCATTCTGTCAAGCTGAACCATGTTACACCCTTCCACTCCAGTGCAAATTGAATATTATAATACGTTATGTCAGTTTTTAGATTAATTTGTACACAATAGCATCTCAAACAAAATGATTGATAGTGAGTAGCAGTGGGCGACAGGCCAGGCCGCAGGTTAGCGCACTCTAACTGCCCTCTCTGCTGCAGTGATGATCAGCTCAGCCAGGTGTTTCTGGAGCAGAACCGCTGGCGGGTGTTCAAGAGTGAGGTGCTGAGCAGCGTGGGGAGGGAGGGCACTCCGAATTTCCCTGGTCTGATGAGGAGGAGGAGAAGAGGGGGGAGGAAGGATGCACAGAGGAGCAGCGAATGGGAGATCAATCGAAGAGGCCTCCTGTTCCTCACTCACCCTACTTCAGCACAAGGAAAGGTCAGACCCTGAGCCGCCGACGGGCAGGAGACACTCTTTCAACATAAAAAATGAGAGATAACTTAACATCTGGCCTGTTTGGTAGTTAGTGGTTTAAATGAATAAAGTTTTCCATCAAGCCATTTGTTGAAGGATGCCAGGGTATCAGCTTCAACAGCATGGCTGGGTGACTTGTTCCATACTCCCTCAACCCTATGGGTGAAAAAATGACTCCTGTTTACTGATTTAATACATAAAAAACTACATATCCAGGGTATCCATGTAGCTCAAATTATACTGCAGTATTATACACTGAGAGGGCAAAGCAAGTTTAGTACTTCACTTACAGCCACGAGAAGCAATTAGAAATAAATCAAGCTGAACTGCATCAAGATGAGACTATGGTATCTGAGTGTTTTCATTTAAAAATATAGGGGGGTGCTAGCCACATTATAAATGTATGGTACATAACAAAAGTTAAAGGACATTTAATACTTGATTGCATATTAAACTAGAGAACTTTTGAGTCTACACTAACTTCATATCAGGACTCCTATCCTACATTGGGATAGATTATCCTGAAATAACAGATATTCTCCTTTTTAACCACAAAAGAGAGTTTTTAGTACGACCCTCAGAAGCGATCAAACGTTTTCATATGGTCACAGACAGGTTGTCCATTCAGCCCACATGGTTTTATACTCTGTGCAGGTATGGGCTGCACCCGGTCCTCAAAAAGAGCTACCGACAGAGGAGACAGCGCCCCCTAGAGCACTGAGACTGATCCACGCCATCGCCATCCCCAAGATCAGTGGGAAGAGCAGAGATTATTGACCAGGACAAAGTGGACTTTTCTACGGTCCAGTAGATTGTTTTTTACTGTCTACTGTGTTCTCTCAGAGGGTAAAAAGTGATAACACATCAACATTTCAGGTTTTATGAGCTACAGGCCAACATACAAATTATGCTGACCAAACAGAAATGCAGTACTGTATGTTTAGATGCACTCAATCTAGTGTGCATCAAAAGAAACTGATCACATACCTACAACATACAAAGTTTTCACCTTGCAAAAAATCTTGTTGTGGCTCATTGAATAGACATGAATATTAAATGAAGTAAATTCCATTTGCTGATTAATATTTGCGTGTACATACGGTACATAAAAAAGCCAGTTTTGGACGAAATACAAATTGTACATCTATGATGGATGCTTTGCACCAGCCAGGTTTCAGATGCTGTCTTGTAAGATTCCATCCCATTCAAGTATCTGTTCGCTGGCCTCGAAGTCTTAGATGATATATTGTCCAACTTCATCAAGCTCATCCCACAAATGTTCAGTGGGGCTGAAGTCTGGGGTATTTGATTTGCTAAAACCAACAGGATGAAGACCTGTGTTGCCCCGTTGGAATTGTGTCATGTCAGGGTGAGACCACAGAAGAGAGGCGAGGGAGGTCCAAGGACTTGAACAACGCAACACCATGTAGTCAGGTTTGCCATCGATCTCTGCAACGCGGAGACCGGAAGTAGCTAGACACTCCAACCATGTCATCACGTTTTGACCTCCCATAATTTGGTCTGTTAAACAAAATGATTAGCACTTTGTACATCACATTTGCTGATGCCATTAGCGTCCTTTACAAAACCTTAATTCATCACTAGAGGGGTCTTCTGACCTAAAGTTGAGTCCAGCTGAGATTTGTCCAAGATATTGATGGTACGAAGGCACTCTTCTCCTGATAAGTAGGCCCGGCCAGCTGTTCTGTGTTTTCTATTTTTGATTTTCACAGGGTTTAAATTAAACAGGTTGCCATTACCTTTGCCCAATCAAGTCTCACAAAAATAGTGATTTAATCCTAAATGCAAATCTGTCACAAGAGTGAAAATTAACATAACAGGGCTTGACAGGTAACCAGGATGTGAATAGTGTCAATAAGGTTAAGTGTACCAAAGCTTTACAGGTCGTTAAGAAAACTAATTTGTGCTCATAGTGGTTGCAGTATTTGTTCAATGAGATCACGTTAAACGTACAGTATTAAAGGCATAACTGGTTAGGTCGCTTTAAATAAGGAAGTAACACAATCAAAACTCAAGTCAAATTATTTTTATTTTACTTTCATTACAAAACAAATTCGGTTAACTACATATGGTAAAAAATAACTCCTAAACAACTGTCTTTGCAATTTCTTTTCATTTCATTGGAAGAGGCTCACTAACGTCAGTGTGTAGGACACTGTGGTTAGGCCCTGCTGTATGTGCCAGACATCAGCAACCAGAAACCACCAGGAAACTGGATACCTAGATACTGTATACAAAACCAGGGGGTTACATGACGGCAAGCCAGAGCAGGTGCTGACTGATGTACAGCATGGTTTTAAAAAGCTTGATAAAGTGTGACCAGCATCAACTTTATTAAGATCTAACATCAGAAAACAAATGCAGTCACTGGATTTAAACAAGAAAAATTCTTACATTCATACTAGGAACCGTATGACAAATGCAGAATAGGAAAATCAGAAACTTTTATTTTACCAAGCTTCTAAATCACAATTTACAGAGCTGAAATTCAATACATGTACAAAATGTCACTAACAGTCTTGAAGGAACAAAGACATTCTGGCTTCACCCTGCCTCAGAGTTCATGGTATCAATCTTTCCCTGTCCTGAGCGATTCTTAAGATGGATCTGTACACAAAGAATAGTATCTTAAACACTATACAGACACCCGAACTCGTCATGACTTCATTTGAAAAACCGAAGCCATGCCAGACACCTTGATTACAGGCATCTTCTGACCAGAACAAAGAGACAGGCCAAAATTCTCAACAAAACAAAAACCAATTCTAAAGAAAAACACAAAGGAAAGGATCTGTCCTGTCATGCTGCTTTCTGTGAAACTGTACAGACGTGACACCCAGGCGGTGGTGTCAGTGTCCTGTCAGTGTCCTGACAGCTGCTGCTGCGGGCCCCTGCTGTCTTTCCCACAGAGCTGGGGGCACCAGGACAGAGATCCAGCTCGTCAACAGTCTGCACGGCATTAAAAGCAACCTGGCCTGGCAGCAAAACGTTATTCTGCCTGTCGTCTGCTAGGACAGGGCCGCACTGAGGCTGCGGTCGTCGGACGTGGCCTGGGTGACGCGCGCCAGGAGGGCACGTCTGGTGGAGCCGCCGCCAGCCCTGGTCGGAGCCTCGCACGGCGCCGTCAGTCCGAATCGCCCTCGCCCTCCCTGACGGCGCCCACTGCTGCGGCCAGCTGCTCCTCGCTGCCCTTCAGCCGCTCCCCTGCGGAGAGAGAGTGTCAAACGTCCAAACCGCAGGCATCCTGACACCCCAGCAATCAAGCAATACGCCAAAGCCATTGTTAGCATCAGTACTTACTCAAGCAGTTATACTATACTACTAATGTGTGACATAACCACCACATTAAAGTATAATGAGCAAGTATATCAACTGCTAATACAATACATATAAAACTAAATGGAAGACAAATGCTCACATTAAATTTGCTTTGACACCTTTTCAGCACTGCTTCGCTTAGATCTATACAGTTTCAGCTCCCTGGCTTCCAGCCTTACAACATGCCAATATACACCAATTCCATGCTGCACTCACTGATGAGCTCTGCGATGGCTCTCTGTGTCCTCTTCTCCAGCTTCTCCAGTTTCTTGGCCACATCCCTTTTAAGGTCCCTTTAACACAGAAAATATGAGACATGACACAATCTGTTGAAATTTGAGAAAGCTATGTGGAGCAAAGTGAGAAAACAAGCCAGAAAATGAAAAAAAGTAGCCCATACCAGTCAGGCTTCCTGGGAGCTAGGTTAGCCAAATCCTAAGGCAAATAAAAGGAAATATTACAAGTCAGTAAGACATTCTAGTTCAATTAAGTCTAACTGATGTTCACACATTTATATTGTTAAAACAATGGTCTCCAAAATCAGGATCTCAAGTCCAACACCTGCTTGCAGGTATTCTGAATTTCGTACAAAATGAGGTGAACTGAATGACTAAAAACTCAGAATGGAATAAAACACAGAAACACTGCAGCCCTGAAGCACAAGATCTAAGGCGACACTAGTGTCATGGCTTCTTTTGAGAAACAGCTAGAGGAGATCCTCATATCAACTAGCTTCTAAACCAATGCAGACCGAAGGTCTGAATGGCTCCTCCTCACTTGTTAAAGTCTACCGGTTCCATTACATATCTACTGCTGGTGTTTCAGTCTGTTCCACACTCACCACTTCCTCAATCACTGGTTCAGGATTGGCTGCCTCTAGCTGCTCCTTCACCTTCTCCTCCACTGAAACACAGGAAAGATTTTAGGATTATCCCCTGGCTGTGTGCTGCACTCATTATTAGCTGTGTCCTCATTATTAGCTCTGTGCAACTTGACTGTCACCATTCGTCATGTGGCCACGGATATCCTCATTGGTGTCCTGTCATCTGTGTTACTAACGTATCCCATTGCGTTTCTTGCCTGCCAGTCCTATGCTATTTTCCCGTGTCTCCTCACCTGAGGCTGGCTTGGCCTTGGGCACCTGTCTCTGTCGCAGCTCCTCGTCCTCTGGGGTGTAGTTCCTCAGCTTCAGCTCTCTGTAACACAGCCACATCACAGGTTGCTACTACACCAAGACTTACAACAGCTAAAATGACGCTATGTCACCTAGAACACTGTCAGCAGGGTTGAGAAGTGCCACAGTACAATGAGGAATGTCACAGGCACAAACAAGAACGGTATAATAATAACAAAATTGAAGAACGACCCCTTTTGACCAGCCAGAGCTTTGCTTGAAACTTGAAATCAAAGCAGATAACCGATTCTTTAACAATCCCAACGTACTGCCTTTTTGGAAAGGAACGTTCCTCCTATTTAAAGCCATTTAAATGGATTTATTATTTAGTCCTTCATGGACTACACTGCATCCCACTGTGCTGCTGAACACTCCCGCCATTGTCAAATTCACAAAACAGGCAGACAATGAGCGGAACAGCAGAGTGGAAACAGCTGTCCTGATTTTAATACCTTGCCTCTGCTCCTATTCCACTTTCTTCAACAGCACTAATCTTCATGTAAACACACTGCATCTGGAACATGTATTCTCATCACCATCAGGCTCTTGAGCTACATACCAGGGCAGCAGTGTTATTGAGCACCTTGGTGCTAAATGTCTTTGAATTACATTAGTGCTGATAGTGTTATTGAATTCCTCAGCAGCCTCACCAGAGATCTGGGCCGGAGCCTGTTCAGCAGTGTCGTGCCACAGCGCCAAGCCAGAGAGTGAAAAGCGAACCAGTTTCAGGGATGGAGAAAGTATGCAAAGCGATGTGGGCAGGTTGTGCAACTAGCCAAACTGGCATTTTTAAAGAAGCACAGCTGAGGAATCCAGTGGTACTGAAAGCCAGTTCCGGGAGGTGGTAGAACTTGCAGCCTCTTCCCCTAGTCTGTGAGAATGAACAGACTGATGCACTGAGCTAAGACTGTTCATCCCAGAACCCTGCTGGGGAGGATCAACTCACTGACACACTGGGCCTCTCTCAAATTATAACCTTTAAAAGCTGTATCAAGAGAGATAAATGTTTTTTTTTAAGTGAATGACTCCTCTCCCTCATCTCATTCCACTCATGTCGTATCTCAGCTCATAAGCAAATTTCAATCCTCAGCAACGTAAATTTCCAGAGGATCAGTGCAAACAGAACTACAGTGAAAAAGAAATTAAGATTCCAAACTTTTTAATCTCCTCTAAACTTAAATCTCCCTTTATTACATGTTCAGACGTCAAAGAGCCTTACTACAAACAAGTCTTACTTGAATTTTTGACAAACGTATTTTGAAAGTACACTGTAAAGTTAGGATTTGAAAAAATATATATTTACAGAGGGATGGAGCTGAAATTTGAGAACAGAACTGCAGAACCCTCTTGAAATGCACTTTGCTAATCTGCTATTGCTGAATTCATACACATCACTACAGCGGACAGTGAGGGGGCTTCAGACTGAGGAATGGGAGATGAAACAGCATATGGAGTAAGACATTTAGCCTTGTAAGAAAATGAAAACCAGCTCTCAAAGCTTTCCCAGTAATGATTATTGTAATATCCTGAGTCCATCCTAGAACAGGAAATAAATATTTTGACAAACAATCTCATCTTTCCTATTTCTTGTTTTTATTACATAAGAAAGGTTACAAATGAGAAGAGGCCATTCAGCCCATCTGGCCTGTTTTGGTGGTTTTTATTTTCATATCTCCTTCCTCTTCTGTCCAATGTCATATGGAAAACAGAAACCACAGGTGTAAAAACACTGGACAGGGCAATCGTGACACACCAATCCAGGCGAATTTAGTCAGTTCTGTGTGGCCCTGTGAGACCTCACCAGTGTGGGAAGAGCCTGTGCTGGCTCAGCCCAGGAAGGGAGGGGTTAAATAAACTGGAAGTGTGAAAGGCTCCCAGCCCAGACTGAAGCAAACAGCAGAATGGGGTTAACAAGGGAGGACATCTCCCAGAAGCACTCAGAACAGTGGACCTGCACAGGACAAGAAGACAGAATGGGTCTGTTAATATGAGCTCTGCTCCGTCACACTGCTTTTCATGGACAGTGTGCAGGGGTGTTTAAATATAAAGTTAAAATTAAATATTACATGTCTCAAATATTCCATTGTAACTATGTCACGGATATTGCACATTCAATATGGCCCTTTTTTAATTTTGAATGATGATTTTATATTGAGCACCATGAGAAACATACCACTCTAATCATGTATGATAAGAAACTCTAAAATCATGTGTTTTTTAGAAAAACTGAATTATGTCGCTTTTGGGTATTAATTGATCATTCCTGACTGACCAAAGTACAATCAAATGATGTTTTCCATAAGCACCTAATCACTTCATTAGTGAAAGAGATGACTGGACACAGGTTATCAGATGATTTCATCTGTTAAATATCAAACATGGTGAAAATGAGAAACCAGAGGATCACCGATGTGCCCCAATTATCAACAGGACAGCTCCCTGAAGCCATCACTATGACAGAGGCTGCATTAGGTCAGCGCACAGTTGTGCGGGGGTGTTCAAAGTCTGCAATTTCTTTCCTGACAAGATGATTCGAACACACTCAAGCCACGATCTGGAAGACTACGAGTCACGTTGCCTTATTGTGACTGATGGGGTGGTTAAGTGTCCAGAGTCTCTAGTGGTTGAAGAGCTGCACTTCAAGGGCCTCATGGCACTCTGGTGGCGTGGCACGGTTTGGCTCAAGTCTTGGCACCTCACCTGCTACCGTTCCTGCAACATCATCCTGATAGGACAGAATTCCAACAGCACAACCCGTCTTCAAACTGCTCGTGTACCAAAGGCTCTCTTCAAGATTAAAATGGACCAGTTATGCTGTGGACGCTGCAGATTTGAGCATTATTGAACACTTGAGTGTGTCATGTAGAGTTCAAAACCACTGAACAGGAATATGATTGCCAAGGGTTTATATTAGGAAAGGGACACAATCCCACAAGAAAGGACCTGCAACCTGATGCAAAGCATGTGCTGCAGATGTACAGATTGTACTGGTTTAAACTTTGACCACTCTTGGTTCTACCCAACCTGTGCCACAGCAGACCCCATTGAGCCATCCTGATAATGACAAATATTAACAGCATACGGCATAATGGATTTACTTATGTCTGTTCAATAAAATGCCCTGCACTTACTTCAAATAAGATGTGTTTGCCATTTCCTGATACTAACTTTCTAAATTTGTTGCAATATAATTAGGAGCCATTTTAGAAATAATTTAAAAGCTTCAGCACAACATGGTGGGACATCAGTGTCCAAAGAACTGCACTGCACTATGTGGTTCAATTCTGACAGATGCATGGGCCTTGAATTTGTGCAGTCCAAACGCAGTTCTTGCCTGGCCTCCAAGCCTGAGAGGTGCCGAGTTCATTCTCAGATTAATGCTCCTCCTGCTGGGCACAAAAATAGATGCTCTTGAAATGCAGGCTGCTCAGCTGATGTTTCTGAAGCAAACACACACAGTGAGGCCCCGAGACCGCTGCTCTTGGTCTGGATACTGACAAGAGGCTTGGTGTGAGAGTGGGAGGTGGTGCATCTGTCACTACTTCATTTCCCTCCAGCTTATCTCACAGAAAATGAGTTCCGGTCCTCCCTCCTTCCCTCCCTGCCATTCCTGCTTAACCTTTTCAGCCTTAACCAGCTCTCCTCTACCACACAACAGAGGGACCTGAAACTCAGTGCTAACAGTGACACTCTGCATAGCGCCTCTGAGGAAATGAATTAAGTTACTGCACTCTGCCGTGCTCAAAGTTTCTGCTACAAGGTGCATTTAGGAGCCTTTAAAATGGACGAGTGATCCATTTGACTTTTTCAGTTTTTGTAAAATTTTAATTATTGGCATTGATCCAGTTTCTTTTCTCCTCATGTTCCAAAGCAGCTTAGCACTGTTTACATCAGGGGAAAATACCTTGATCAGCAAGTCAATAACGAGTGAGCACGTATCTTAGTTCTGAATAAAGGGCAGACTCAGAAATTAATTAGAACCTAGTGCTCTAATCCTGTAAGCTCCATTTTTCCAATTTTTTGTAAAGAAAGCTTTTCTCATATCATCTAATGGCCTCTTGCTAGGTATGGATCTACAGGCTGGCATTGGAGCTTTACAATTTTCAGAAAAGGAGCCTGCGGCAGAGTAGACAACAGCTTGAGAAATCCTTGTTGGCCTCCAAGTTCCTCTGCAGGTCTTACTGAAACCTTTTCTGCTGCTCATGTTGGTTCCTCCGACATGATGCGCAGATCAGAAGAAGTGAAAAATCCTCCAGTAGCTTCCTTATCCTGGAGTGAGCATGGACACCTACCATTACACCTCTCAGCACGAAAAGCTCAAGCCAGAGACTGATCAGTGTTTTGAAGAGCGTTTAGGCAGGACAGGGACGATGCCACAGCCCTCTGGGGAGCAGACAGGACGGTGGAGCAGGTCTGCACTCTCTCTGCTCATACCCCTCGCTGGGAACAGCTCCTCTCGGTGTCAGCCTAGCCTGCCATCACTACCACTCCCCCTGGCTCACTGGGTCATCGCCACACACTGGCTGACCCCACACCTCAAAACCACATCCCCCCATCTCCTTGTCATCCCTCATATAATATCGCCATCACCCACCATAGTGAGCAATGACAAACCTCTGGCACGCTAATGAGAAGCTGTTCAATGTCTGCAAATTCTGCACACAGACAGACATTTAAGTCAAAATATTTGCTCCCAACAGTCTTTTCTTAGCTCGCTACAGAGCAGGAGACTGCGGCATGAAGTATTAGCAGGGTGTTGGAATTAGTGACTCTGCTCTGTGTCTGCTAGCCTCCATAAAATCAAGTACGAAGTACAGGAAGTATGTATGAGTCACAGCTGTAACCTCCCACACGTTGAAACAAAGCAATCATAGATGACATGATTGATTGTGAAGGTGTCATAATAAAACCAAGAAGGGGAATATACTTCTAGTCAGTTTACAGCAAAGACACACTGAATCTGTCCATGAGCCATGCACTAGATCAGCCATAAAGCTAGAAACCTTCTGACAGGTGCTTTTCCTCTCTTGATTGAGTTACGCTGCTAAATTAGCAGCATAATGAAAATAAACAATTTCCCCACAGTTCATAATCACATAACTGTAATAACTATCAAAGCCTTTATGGATGCCTCACTGCTTCAGACAACTTCAAGAGTAAGTAGCTAAGCAGTGGAAACCAGAGGATACAAATAGAGATTATATGACAGTGCCTTTAAAACTCAGACATGTCTTTACACAAAGGGTGGTGGGAGTATGGAACAAGCTAAGCAGCCATGTTGCTGAAGCCAATACGATACCCTGGCTTCTGTCATGAAACACCTGGATGAGACCCTTTGATAAATTAGCCATGAAATGCAAAATATGCTAGATGTGTTGATTGACTTTTTCTCTTTTCAACCTATGCTGTGTTCAAGCTGGACACAGTCCCTTGTTTACAGAAACGAACTGGTCTGTGTGGCACTGTCTGCTTAAACTGATTACACTGAACCGCAGCTTACAGGACAGTTAACCAGTGTGGGCCTGAGCTCTGCCTGCAGCAGAGAGTGGACTTACTGGCTCAGTTACACCTCTCTTGTCCCATCCTTGTGTTTTCAGCCAAATAGCTTAATTAGCTCAATACTTCACTGTACCGATTCTCCACATGCTACAGGCTGCAAACAAAAACTACACTGGTTCTAAGCAGAGTGCATTATTACTTCATTGTGTGAAACACCCTTTTAAATACAGCCCCCCAGGGAAGCAGCTCACCTGTGCTTCTCCTCTTCTGCCTCCTCCAGCGCTCTCTTGCTCTCCGGCTCCCCATCCTCGGGTTCTCTCCCCTTTCAGATAAATGACATTGCATTAGCGTGGGCTTATCAAACCTGCCCAGCAGGACAGGCAATACTGCTCTCCCTGGGAGAACGCCATCTCCCCAGACAGATCTGCACAGTTTCGCTGCTGGGTACTCTACAGGGTGTGAATACAACACTGGGACCCCTCCTTTTTAATACCCTGACCAACAGCTACACAGCAGAACAATGCTGGTATTTTGCCATCAGCTGATGATTTCAACAGTGGTGACGGCTGTATTTAGAAGGACAGGTGCAAGCACCGTTTTTGACATTCATGTGGTCAGTGAAAAGTCAGATACCGAGTCAAGAAAACAACGCAAGACTATACTGATTAACTCTTTACAGAAAAGTCAAGCTTTGTGACAGAGAGAGTGGGTCAATCTTCCTTTGCAAAGATCAAAACTGGATGGGCAGGCAACAGTTAAGATCAGAGATTATCTCTATGCAAACAACCGCCACTTAATAGGCAAAAGTCCGCTTAGACCTTTATCGAGAAGTAAGACATATCTATTCATATCATTACAACAGACTCCTATTCGGAAAGGGCTGGCCCAGTGCAGCACAGGCAGAGCCGTGCCGGCGTGTGTGAGCTTCCTCGCAGGCAAGGCAAAGTGATCCCTGAAATGGTTGTTATGGAAACATGGCCCCTGCACCGCCATGGAGACGGCAGGTAAGAGAATCCTCCCAGGGGATACTGCACCCCTGTGCTGCTGAGCAGTAACATATGTCCATATGGAACGCCTCTGCAGCTTTTGTTTAGGGCTAACCTAACAATATCCATCCATTCGTCCAACGTCTAACGGCTTTATCCAGTTCAGGGTCATGAGGGAGCTGAAGCCTATACCAGCAAGCAACGGGGAGAGGGCAGGGTACACCCTGGATGGGACACCAGTCCACTGCAGAGAACACTCAGACACAAGAGACTCACAACTCACACCATTGGCCAGTTTTCCCAAGAAAACAATTAACCTTCCAGTATCTCTTTGGACTTGGAGAGAAAACCAGAGCACCTAGAGGAAAACTATGAAAATGTGGGGAGAACATACAAACTGCACACAGATAGCACCTCAGATCCACAACAGACCCTAGGGACCCAGCACCTCCATGCCACCCACCAAACAATAGAAATAATCAAATCAATTTACATGCTATGGTGAGAGCTGAGCAGTGTCTCAAAAATGGACAGCAGCATTTCAGCCTAGTAACCTCAGATTACCCATATATCTGGCTGACATATCCAGAGCAATGTACATTTGCTCTCACATATACAGCTGGGCTATTTTGCTGGAACAATTCAGAAGAGGTCATTTGCTGCAAATGATTACTGACTGGACACAGCCAGCCTTCAAATTCCCTAACAGCATATTGAAAGTAGTGATTGAGTTTGGCCGCCTGTTGTTTTAGGGGTGTCCCAGTACCCGAGAATCAACAGAAGAGCTCTTTCTGATATTCCACGATCCCTACTCAGAATAGTAAATACAGAGAAGGAAGCCATCCAGAGATGGACTAGCCATCACGCAAAACCCATGACTTTTCCATCAGTAAGAGGACTCAACACTTGCAGAAAAAGCATGCTGTGAACAATGCTAAAGCCTGCTGTTACTTTCCCAAAGGGCACAGAGAAAGAAGTGTGAAATCACCATTGTTAGCAATGTGTGAAAAAGAATTACACTGTGATGCTATTTATATATTCACATCCTGCTTCAGCATTTTTCTGCTACTGATTTTTACTATAGAGTGGCAGCATGTTTATCGAGAATAAGTCAAAACCCAATGGTTTCTTGCAGTTCCATCATTCTATCACAATGAAAAGGTGGTATGTTCTACAACACAGATATTCACTCCTGTGCCTGGAGGACATTTATTACAACCCTGGGCGGGCTGCAACCACCCAGCAGCAGGAATGAACAGTCATTTGTCCAGAGGGTGCAGAAGTCTACAAACAGTCCCACACAAACACTCCCATGCTGCTAAATCTCATACATTGCATTTGAATGTCACACACAGATTAAAAGGAAATGTGTAAGTGCACACAGTTGATAAGTACAGCCCCAGGACTGTTCACAACCCACACGGAAAGACCACCCCCAACTTGTGCTGCATTCTGGAACACATCTAACCTGTAAGTCTTGTGCATCCTGTATTTCTTTTATTCCAGTTCTTGCAGCCAAAAACAAGTAGCATGTATTGGCCATAAAAAGTAGAAAAGTTTTTAACTAGCAGAAGCAAAAGCCCCAGTGGTGACGCTCAGCTCTGACATGTTACCACTGAGCCATAACACTTTCTATAGAGGTCCAGGATGGCCAACTCGCCCGCTTTTTAATGTTCTGTCCCCCTTAAAGTGGTGCATTATGGGAATCCAAAGAGCTCTTGAGATGGTTTTTATCTCATAAAAAATCGAATTTCTTATTCTAGAGCTTCTTTTTTTTTTAAATGTTTTCCATTTTTATCGTGAATCTTAATGAATTGTTGAGAATCACCCGTTTAACACGGCTCCATGTTATTTTGACAGAGTATGTTTTCAACTGGTCTGATGAGTTCTTTATCACCAACGTGGTGCTGGAAACAGGAAAGGAACACTTTCTCTGCACACACCAACTCACGGGGCAAACATTACTTGGAGTCAGAGGTTGGATTAATAGAAAAACACTTTACTTTTCTTCAGGTGGTAAAAATGGGACAATAAAAGCTAAACCTAATCTTCAGAAGCTTTCTACTGGGCAGTTTAGTACTGCTGCCCCTTAAAAATTCTCAGCGGAAAATTGATAAATGGGCTGGGATGCTAGCTTCCTCGGCTTTTCCTGGAAAAACTAAGCTGTTCCCTCGTTTTGATATAACAATGCAAAAGCCTCTGGCATTCCTAAAAGTCAGGGCAATGCTCGCAGAGCGGAAAACCCTCAGCTTCAGTGAACAGAAGCCAAAATAACAATAAACCCAAACTGTGCACATAAGCATGCTCACACAAGCATCTGTGGCATTACCCTCGAGTTCACAAAGGAAGGCAGCTGGCTCATTACCAATCTTCTGGCACAAGCGAAAATGCCAACGTTTTCTAATCTACAGATCTTGGAGCTTATTAAACAGGAATCTCTGCACAAGGTTCTTTTTCCTTGATTGCCCAACAGACACAGTCAGAAGAACAGCTGTTGGAGACATTTTATTACGCATTCACACGTGTATAGGGAGTCTGTCCCAGGAGTGTCAGGGGCGGGGTTATTCCAAACACAGCATTGCCCGGGTTTCCTCTGTGCACTTCCACTGAAAAACCTGCGCAAGCAAACTGATCTCAGGTGACATCTAAGCAACCTGCTGTGTAATGGAAAGACCTAGAGTGGGCTAACATAGCCATGTGTGCTCAGCACTTTAACTTCATCCAGAGTGCCCACCTACTTCTGACATAGGTTACACCTCTCTAAGCCACCCGCTTTAGAAATACTGCACCTTGAATCCAGTCTGTAAAAACTGTTCGTACAAAGTAAGCTTGAAAAGCATTAAAATATATTTACCTGGATATATGATAAATATTGTATTACACAATCAGGGTTGATTTATCTCTATAGCTCTACAGAAATCTCACAATCTTTGCCTCTAATCTTCACAGTCAAGTTCTCACCACACAAAACCTGGAGGCACATCCCGCCCCGCTCAAAAGATTTTCCTGAAAAAATCATTCATGCTTATCAGTCTGGAAAACACTGCAAAACCTTTTGTAAAACTCTGTGGCTCCACCGAACCAGCCAGAAGCATGGTCCCGAAATACAGAAGATTTAGGTCAATAGCGAATATTCCCAAGAGTTTCCATCTGGCCAAAATCACTCCAAGAGCACAGAGTAAAATAGCCCAGGAAGTCACAAAGAACCCCAGGACAACATCCAGGGATCTACAAGCCACCGTAACCTTGGCTAAAGTCAGTGTTCATGATTCAATCATCAGAAGAGCACTGGGTAAGAACAGTTTCATGGGAGCATGGCACAGGCGAAACCATTGCTTGCCAATTGCATTGATACTCATTTTAAATTTGCCAAAAAGCACCAGGATGACCCTCAAGTTTTCTGGAGGAACAGTCTATGAACAGATCCGTGAAAAGGGGTTATGTCTGACAAAAAAACAAAACAAACTGCATTCCATACACAGCAATAAGAGAGACTGATTACTACTTACAGGAAGTGTTTGGTTGCAGTTATTGCAGCTCTAAGTGGCAGAACCAGGTACTGAGCCTAAGAGCCTAATTAACTCTTTCTCACAGGGGCACTGGATGTTAGATGGTACTAAATAAATGATACAAGCATCATATGTTGGTGATATTATGTTGGCAATATTAGTTCACTTAGACTCCCTTTTTACATCACTAGAACCCCTATAAATCTCTGATCATATGAAGTGGCAAAAACGCTTAAAAAAATAAATACTTTTTCACAAAACTGTATACACCAGCATAGTTTTGAGATATTGAAATTCTTGTCCAAAGTCCCACAAAAATGCTTAGAGCTACAAATTAAACAAAGAAAGTGAGAAAACTGGCAGCAAGATTTTCTTCATAAGATGCACATTGTTACAAGACAGACAGCACAAGGTACAAATTAGAAGTCATGCATATAAAAAAACTGAAGTGGGAAGCTTGTGCCAAAAAGAATTGAATAGGCATTAACCACTACTGCTTTTTATGCAGATTAATACACCCCTGGCTTTGCACTAAACTGGAAATTTCACAACTTTTGTTCTCAGTGCAACTACAATTTTTAATCTGGATTATCATGTTCTCTATCTACTTGAGTTTTTTTTTCTGTTGCTGACTTGCTTGGGAAAGTTTTGACTGAGTGAATGTTGATTCCTAAAAGCCACCTGATGGAATCTGAAATGGGGATACCTGGGATAAAATGCTTTCTTCATTAGTTTTCTACCAGAACTTGTTCCAGACTGCTTCACGAAGTGTTCCTCTTTACTCTCTCCTGCATGTCATTCATCTTTCAGTGAAGCGAAATATGCAGTCAGCTCGACTCTAGCTGAAAGCCTTGAGTCAATGATTAACAGACAAGCAGCAGCTAGCTATAGTGGTGTAAGAAGTATCCTCGACGCAATCTAAAATATATAGATACTTTATTGATCCCGTGAGTGAAATTGCAGACTGTAAGTAAAATAATGTCTTATTTTACATTGTAAAATAATGTAAGACCTGCTGAGCTATGACGTTCTTTATCTGCCCTCTGAACTGGACCTCGCATTCCTGTGGCAATCTCTTACTAATACAGTACCAACTCCGCAAAAAGCAAATTATATCGGTACAATAATCGTTAGAAGACAATTCAGACCACGAACAAGCTTATTGAATGTTAAACTCGTCGTTCTTAAACGCTTTCATGTCGAGCTAGTTCTAGCAAACATATTATTATTGCCCAAACATATTTAGTGACAGCTCATTTAAAACACGTTCTAGTTAGATCAATGCTCAGATTACTTACAATACTATGAATGAGTGGCCTAGTATCTAAACGGGTCGGTACTGTGAGCAGCGCAAACTGAATTAACAGCACACGTTGTAGTGGAAAAGCTAGCTGGCGGTGGATGAGTCTTGTGTATCTTTAGGATTTGTCCAGATCAGCAGGTCTCCAGCCATGGACGGACCCAAATAATCAACCGACCAATTCTCTTTCACTCGTTTTGTCTCTGCTTGAAGTCTTACCTGAAATTGCTTATTCCTAATCGCCTTTAGTCTCTCTTTCCTCTTCAGCGCCTGCTCTTCCAAAGAACCCACGACTGTCGCCATCTTCCCACAATTCTCTACACCGAAAGCCAAACCTGTCGCAATAGATTGCGTCGATACAGGCACTCCTGCTAATCGCCGAGCTAGTCGATTCATCAAGAGCCCTTGAATATTAGCTGCAACAAGATTGAATATATTTTTTATTCCCAAACGGTTTATGACAGGTATAAAGTGATATCTAACAAAAAATAGTAAAATAAGCTCATTTGCATTAATGTTTACACAAATCAGAAATCACAAAATATTTAATAATAATAATAATAATAATAATAATAATAATTGCTTACACTTATATAGCTCTTTTCTGGACACTCCACTCAAAGCACTTTACAGGTAATGGGAACTCCCCTCCACCACCACCAATGTGCAGCCCCACCTGGATGATGCGACGACAGCCATAGTGTGCCAGAATGCTCACCACACATCAGCTATTAGAAGCTATTTAGAAATAAAGTTAAACAGATTTATTACGTATTTACATGTTCATACAAAGAGCACATACAATGTGTACGTACATATGTTTACATATGTTTATGTTCACATATGTTTCAGGTCTACAAGCAAAACTTCAAACATTTCATACTGAATGTTCACAAATCATTATAGACCATAATTTCATAATCCTAACCCTACGGCTTATCAGGCCTGAATTTATCCTGCTCTCTTTGGCTATATAGAGACTTCATAACTCTGAATGGGAGGCCAGTCACTGGCAAGGATTACCCCCAGCAATGTCAGTCCCCATTCATACAGCTGGGTGGACTGAGGCAACTGGGGGTAAAATCCCAGACTCAGAGGTACAACAACAGTGATTGCAGTGGGGACTCAAACCAACAGCACACCAATTACAAGTCCACTGTGCTAAACCACCCTCAAATTAAAGCAGAAGGAAAATATAACTAATAGTTTTGTCTAAAACAGAATGTTAATGAGTGGTGAAGGGATCCAAGGTATAACAGCCAAGTTAATGATCCAAAACATCAGAACACTCTGTTTTCATTTAAAACCAAGAGGCCTGAGGAGCATCACCAGCAGGTAGAGTCTAGGAGATCAGACCAACAGTTGTCCTTGAACACAAAGGACTGGAAGGCTGGATACAGCAGTGGGATGAGACACAAGGTGCAGAAGCATGATGAGTGATGATGGGACAGAGGGCAAGACAGAGAGAAGAAAACATTAGGGATGATGGTAAACCTACAGCCAGTGGAGACGTCTGACAAAGGAAGGACAGAGAGGCATAGCTCAGCAGAGAAGATGGAAGAGGAAAAACAGTTATGGTGCAGGACAGAGATCAGAACAGAATTAGAAAGTGGGCAGCAGGAGCAAAACAGAAAGAGCCTTCAAACAAACCAAGTGTGCAGAACACACCCCTACCTTCTGTACCCACAGACAAACTGGCCTGGGCTATCATGAACTTACAAACACCAGAAAGTTTGATTGTCAAGTTTGCAATGTGCTGGGAAGTTAGGAACTTGGAAACTTTAAACAACAACAACAACAACAACAACAACAACAACAACAATAATAATATATGCAATTAATTATAATAAATTATTATTATCATTTTATTTTATTTTTTTACAATTTTGTTTGCATGATGTTCAACCAAACAGAACATGGAGTGGTTCAAGTAGGTAGCTGCAACAACGCGTAGGCTGCAAAGGAACAAATAAAGGTCTAATCCATGCTGAAAAGAGAAGAAAAGAAACACAAGGTTTTGGCTGTGGAGCCTTTTTCGGGTGTCAGAACTTGGAGGGGCAGTGGTGACAGCATTTTTCTGATCCAATAATCCAATTGTGATGAAAAAAGGCAAGCAGAACAGCCACAACATTCAGAATTCACAACATTCAGAATTTCTCCAGCGCATCACACTGGACCCAATATAAAGGTTAATGAAAAAAGTTGTTAGTTTTACAACAGGTGGTGGAGTTCTGTGAGAAAATCGACCGATTCCTCTCTTTTTTCAAGTGTATGAATTTGAAGTTACAGAGTGGTTCTGCATGTGCTAAAATGACTGTTGCAGCATCTGAATTGCTCACAGGGGAGCTAAAAGGGCACAAAGGAAAGGCTTACTGCACAACAGGTGAAGTGTTGCTTCTTGTGTGATTGTGGGATTGTTTACAGTGTGAATGACTTCACTTCAACAAACCTTGAAAACTCATTCAGTGCATTAATCTTTTCCAAGCTGTGCTTTGGACATGTTTTTCCCCCACTTGAGTTAACAAAGAAATGCTAGCGAAAGGATCGCTCACACAGAAGGGGTGTTTGCCAGCTAATTGTCTCAGGGAGGCGTGATGTTTCCTTCAGTAAACGGTGCGCTTGGTGAGACAACATTGTTATTGCTGTTTCCTGAAACTGATGACCCCCACAGGGCAGGACAAGGTCACTCACTGGAACAGTGGCTGCTGCTTTAAATGAAATACCAAGACTCACTTAAAACATTAGAGACTTTATAAATAGAAGCACTCAGTGTGGTGCTCGATACTCCATTCTTTCCACTGCTAAAGGGCCTGCATTAGGCTGGGTTTCAGTAATGTCAGGGAGAGGTGTTGAACGTCAGCATTGTGTAATTCTTCAGTTTTGTCTCTAACTTTAAGTCTTGCTTTCTTTCTGTCTCTCATTTCTTTCTCGCTGCTGGCCCCCAGAATCCCACTGCAAACTCTCAGGCCATGACAATGGCTTTCTCCTGGCTTGGTGTGACAATATGTCTGTATGACCTGCTCTATGTGGCCTTCTTGACCATGATAACACAAATGTCATCCTCGGATGCCATGCCCTTCTAATCCATAAATATGTAACCCCAGTGTATGCAGTTCTGCAAAAATACATACTTTATTCTAGCTCTGGTTTCTGCAGTTCCATATGGAAAAGGATGTAAACTCCTAAAATGTCACATAAGAGCTACCGTGTGCATTGAATTCCACATTTAATTTACCATAGAGGAATCTCACAAACTGCTAGTGCCAGCACCAGTGCTAACTCAGAACATTAAAATCACACATACAAAGGGTCAGGTGGTGCCTTAAGACATCACACCTTTAGGCCTTCCTGCCGCCTTCATATCATGACTGTAGTCTAGAGCAACGCTGAAACAGAAAGAACTGCCTCCACCCCCTCCCAATTTATAGACCAAGAAATGTCCTGCACCTGCACTGGCACAGAGTGATCCAGATTGTACTGTGTGTCAGATTCCATTGCGTCTCCATGCCAATCTGACTGCTGCATACACACAGATATAGAGAGGCCTTAGTGTACCACACTGGGCTTGGTGAGTAATCTAGGGCATTGCCATGGCAATACAGCTGCCTGGAGGTTCACTTTTTGCATCGTATTGGCCAAGTGACCAATATACTGCTGTAACAAAAAACTCTATGTCTTACACATAAAGACAGAGCATGTAGGTCATTAATTCTACTGCTGGTATCACTATCCAGCAATCTTTCAATTTACATTTGAGAATTGCAGAAGTGGCAGGGTCCACTGTGTTTGAAATGCTGAATTAAACTTGGTCCAATGGCAGATAAAACTCACGTATTACCCTGGGCTAGGAGACTAGCAGATTATAAATGTTATGCCTCTCTGAATGAGTTCACCTCACCACTCTGAGTTTGTTTCACATTTCTTGAGAAAGCAACATTTAAAATATTAAAGGGGAATACTGAACTAACATCCAGAAAGCTTTCTTCACAACACTTTTTTACTTTATGCCTTCCTCCAATCTGTTTGTAGTGACACTAGTCTAAGGCAATGCTGAATTTTGGGGGAATTTGGGAATCTTAATTTTCTCATTGGTATTTCTTATTGGTATAAATAGGTGTAAACGTGATGTGGTGGTCTGCGCTCTGTGACAATGGCCAAGACAGTTGCTTAGAAACAAAGAAAAGAAATTCTAGGGGGATACAGGCGACAAGTCTTGGTGTCCAGCCCCCACACAGTACTCACCGCCTTGTCTCTGTGTTCTGCTTTCCTTTAAGTGGTGGATCAAATTGGTTGCTGTTGCAGAGACAGAAGCATTTGCTATCTTTCAAACCACAGCTTGATGAAACTCGCCTATCATCAACCTTTCAGCTGCCACACTGTCAGGCTGTCCTGAATGGCCCAACCTCTTGCCTCCATCATTTATTAAACTCTTTTAGGTGTTCTTCGCAGCCAGTAGTCAGATGGCCCAAAGGACCAGAGGGAACAGCAGTCACATTTAGGCTGTGATGGTAGCTGGAGGTACTGTATGTGTGTTGATTCTGGTTTTGTGTCATGGATGAAATATCAGCACTCCTGTTTGCTCTGCCAGAGAGCCCTGTCCTTGAGAAAGACCTTGTGCTGGGGTGGTTAATCTTGGACTGGAAAAACACAAGGCTTTCATTTCTGTTTTATCCAAGACCACAAGGAATAAGAGAGCACGAGAGACATGATATCTAAATCCAGACCTGAGAGGGACATCAATGAATGCTAATGCAGAAAATCTTTTCCCACAGTGAAGGCGTGGGATGGGATTTGAGTTTTTCTTTACAGATGTGAGAAAACTCCAGAGTCTAAAAAACAGTCTTGGGGAGTTTTTGTGCGAGTGAATCCAGAGTGTTCATTCTCATACAGCCCATTCAGCCTTACACAGGACATGCTCTGTTTCCACACCTTGAGTCTCTGTCTATAATTGACACCGCTCTTGCGCGATATCACAAATATTAAAACACTGCAAGACTGAACAAGCATTAATCAGTTCTTCAAGTGACATGAAAAGCATCCAGTGAAATGAGAAAAGAGAGCGACACAGCTTTGTGCCAAACTGGCAAACTTGCACTGGTCTGGAGTGCTGCAACGATTTGATTTTAATTGTCATGAATGATGTTGTATGTAATTTCTAATATGTAGGGATGCAAGATGTGACAGAACAGTTCAGCACAGGATTGACACAAGTTTATTTTGAAGGCCCACGGAGAGTAAAGGGGAAATCTGTCCCCTCAGAACTAAACCATAAGCCTGGATCGATTACTTTTCTTTTATACATCACTGCAAGCAACTAATAACCTCCCACCACATAAAGAATTAAATGCTGTGTTACGATAAAGAAAACTTGAAATAGATATAGCTGTACATGAACACAGAATGGTATTTGTACCGCTGAATGCAAATTTACATATTGTCCAGCTGCTCAAATAGCTTAGTGACCTAAATAAGGACCTCCCTGACCCACATCATATGGGGTACTCAAATGAATTTTAACTGAACTTTCTATATCAGAACACATTGTAATGCTCAAGTTACAAATCTGGTCTGTTCCCTACTAATGAGACAAAATTGCAGGATGCAGAGCTCAAGTGAATTTCCTAAAGTAAAACAAGATTAGGAAAGGAAAATGAGAATTTCAATCCCACAGGATTTTAATCAGGGCTAAATTAATGGAACAATCCAACTCTGTGGGATCACAACGATGGCTTTTTTTTTTGCTACCACTTGTGATGTTCGCTAACCTTCTGCACCTTTCCATAATTCTAAAACAATGTGAAGACAAATGCATCAACAGAGTGTGCATTTTGATTTTTTGTCTAGCTGATAACCCTCAATCCATCCATTTGCTAACTGCTTAATTCCGGGTCATGGGGGAGCCAGAGTCTATCCCAGCAAGCAGTGGTCACAAGGCAGGACACACCAGGGATGGGACACCAGTCAAATCGCAGGGCACGCACAGACTAAACATGCACACACTCACACCAGGGCCAGTTACACAGAAGTCACACACAGAAGCCAGTTAACCTACTTAGTCTGCAGAGTGTGGGAGGAACCCAGAGCACCAGTAATATTCTTCTCACGCCCAGTTCCCCATTTAACTGATGTGTGTGCTGAATTGCGATTCCTCAGTAGGAAACCCACATGGACATTTTGGGAGAGAACATACAAACTCCACACAGATCCACGCACGCCAGGTCTGGAATTATACGCAGGGCCCCAAGGCTGTGAGGCCGCAATGCTAACCACTGTGCCTCCATGCCGCCAAACCCTAAACTGTCGGCATTGAAATTATTGCAAAGAGAATTCTGTGAACGAGTGCTTCAGAAGGTCAAAGCGGATGAAAAATCGGAGGAGCGGCAGCAGCCCCTGCCCCCAGCTGTCTGATGCCCCATGGGAAAACACAGCAGGTGGAGGAGAGGCAATTGTTGCTCAGGAGCTGCTGCCTGGTGACTGTGCTGTGATGCTGTCAGGGTCCCAGCCAGGGGTTTAGGAGAAGGAGGATTTGTGTTGTAACCCACCTGCAGGCAGGAGGAGGAGGAGGGAGACCCCTGGACACGCATGAAAATCCAAGGAAATAAGGGCAGATCTCAACACAGGACAAAAAGAATCCGGCTTCAAAGGGAACGAGAAGGGTGACATCTAGGAAAGAATACAAGCCTGTCTCACTAGATAGCATGATTGTACAAGTTTAACCCACTGTTAGGGCTGGAGACCTCTGGGAAATCGGCGGCAGCTCTCATTGTTCAACAACGAAGCCGTGTGCGGTGCTTCAATCTGGTTGTGGTTGCAGACAAAAACAGATGGAACTTATTGTGCCAGCTTAGCTCGATAAAGAGCAGCAGTGCACGGCCATAGCTCACCACACCAGAGACCCCTTTCAAGCAGGTTTAATTATATAAAGGCAATACATAAATACTACAAGTCGGCAGTTTAACATTGAGAAGTAGATAAACGAAGCAACAGATGTTTAAGAACTAATAATGGGAGGCTTAAGATCCGTCTGGTAGAATCAATAAAGATCCGTTTAGCATCAGTCAGGAAAAAAATAATCCCAGAAGACGTTGGAACGTTTTACTGTATTTTTTTTTGTTCAGTTTTGCAGTATTACATCTACTCCAGCCCAATAATAACTGCTCGTGAGCTCTTTTTGTCCGTTAATTCAATTGTACTCGTTTTTAGAGTTTATCTGGTGTCATTCAGTGCTGCTGTTTTAATCTGTAAGCACCTCTGGGAGACTGGAGGAAAACAAGACCTAATTACCCTAGTGTGCACTGACGCTGTGGACCGCAGAAGGGACTTTCATATCAGCCACTAAATAAGGATATTAGATCATTTTATGTGGGAAAAACCCACTAATCCTAGAAAGCTTACCCTTTTCCAGTGCGCGACTCTAATAAAGCTTCAAGACGAAATCTGAAACATGACAGTAAATTAGCATGCACAACAAACTTGGCGATTTGCTTCTGTATTATTAATGTCCTGTAAAAAAATACCTAGTGTTGTTGTGAAGTCTACACAAAACATATTTCCGTTTGTCATCCGCTTCCGTGAGCTTTGAAATAATTATTTATTTTTGATTTAAAAAAACCTCCAAAAATATCCGATCACAAATATAAACAGCTATTTGACCTCCGCTCACACTGTACACGATATTGATTGGCCCCTCGTGTGTCCTCTTTTGCCAGACAGAAACAGGAAATTGGTGTCTTTACGTGACGGAATAAAACACATGACATACTTTCTAATTTTAGGTGCAATGATGACAATAAAGTAGTAAAGATAAAATACACTCCTGCGTATTTAGCCCGCAAGTGTTATATGCGAGTGTTATGAAGACAACTAGGCAAAGGAATGATTTATCAAAGCTGCCATGTGACATTAATTACTGACAGTTTGGGGGAAATAAATGACCCATTCTTTTATTCTAGACAACAGACAATTAACGGTTTTGTGAAATGGAACTCTATTGTGAGATCCATCTAAAGCCAAGTGGATAACCGGAATTGTATTGTGCTACACGTTTACAAATATTTTGCAGTTGAGGCGATTAAATGAAAAAAAAAATTTGATTAGCAGTACATTTGTGTTATGGACGTTATCTCTTAAAATGATACTGAACTATATTTCTACGTTAACTTAATTGCGTCGTTTGGAACAGTTAGGTGTATTCCACAATAGGAAACGTCAGTCAAACTGTACTTTCTTGTGGACTTCCTCGTTTTGCCCGACCTTCAGGGATTTGATATTCTGTACTACAGTTTAAATTCAAGACTTTGCATCGCAATTCAGCGCACACATCCGTTCAATTGGGAACTGGACATGAGAAGGATATCGGTCTCAAATAGGCACCTATGACTTTAAAAAGGTTACCTGCCGGCTGTGGTTACGCACCCCACTAGGAGGCCAGTGAGCCAGGGTTTCTTTACAGTTGTTAAAGAGAATCAGTAAGATTGCACCGAAAACGCACATTAACGTCCACATGAACAGTCGTGCTGTGGCGCAGAAAGTGGGTGGGTGACAAAAAAAGACGGGCTCCAGGAAACCTGTTAGCTTCCAGCTCATCAACAGCAAAGAGTCCTGGGTGCAAGGAAATCCACGCTTGCTATGCAGCGTCTGTTTTCACGACCTCTCTTCCTGCTTAACACGCAGTGGAAACTCTAATAACAATAAGGAACGCGATGCGCTTCTGATGTTGCCGGATTTTATTTTAAACCAGAGCAGGTTTTAACTTTGGAGGAAGTCATGGGTCGGCGGCGATGCAGAAGAAAATGATTCAGGATTAAAGAGCGCTCCTTTTCTCTCTCCTTTCTTTTTAAACAATAAACAAGATAAATGCATGTTTTAACACTGTGAAGACTCCAATCGCTGACCTAGCACGAGCGAAGAGCCCCAGAGTATGGCTTCGAAGGAGAGGTTGTACGAGCTGTGGATGTTGTACTTCACCAAGGTGAGCGCATTGCCCACGGACACCTGTGGATTTGGCAGGTTTTCTTTCAACCATTTCCCCTCTTCCTAAACCGATTACACGGTCGCACATGAAAGCGACTGGCTCTGAGTTCATATATCTCAAGTACAGGAGAGATCTGCGGTGTTTTTCGTTTGGGAACGCTCGGCTGTTGTCGAATATTAAAAGTATTTTGTTTAAAAAGTCTTTCTTTACACTTTTATGACTTTGGATTCACGTGTAACGACTGTGAGATTCCCAGGAGTATGTTTTTTGTATTCTAGAGCGAGTGGTGCTTTGGTAATTAGAAGCATTTCCGTACTGTTACGGCGTCTATTTGTTGTTTCTGCACGGTTGTGATGTTTTGGATGTGTTTCAATGTGTTTCAATGTGCTGTTGTAACCGTCTTGGTGAGCTTTGTTGGGGGGCGACAGCTCCAGCCGGTATCTGGCAGCTTTGTGTACTCATTACATGATCAAGGAATAGTACAAACACATTCAATCCCTTACCTCTACAACAGGAATGACCTGTTGTAGGGATGAAAAACAAAAACAGAGCAATAATATGCGCTTGGCCCTTGCACTGTGCAAACAGCAATATGCCTGCAATGTTGCTAATTCTAGTTTACTATTTAGAATAGATTTTCATGCATTTTCGTCACCACAGAGAAACTACAGGTATGGCCCTGTGCACTTTCTATTTGTTAAAATATTACGAAGTATAGGAGTACATGTTAAGTGGAATCTCATTGTCGGCACTGTACTATAGTAAATGCATTTCTACAGTTAGATAAGTATGCGCTGGGTTGTTTTAAAATATTAGCTTGAAGCACAGTGCAAGATACTACAGCTCTGCCGGCCCGCTGAGCCAGCAGTGACTTGTATCTTCGGTATTCAAAAAAACTTTGACCGAGTTACGCGTAACTGAGCTGATATTTACTTCGCAAGTGTGCCAGGAAGCAGAGGCTTGGCGGAGGTAGCACTGTTTTGCGTTTATTTAACTTCGTCCTCGATATGTCAACACGTGAAACGTCGGTTTACTCTGCTGAGCAGGAGTGCGTTTGGGAGAGATCAAGTGTGTGCGTGTAACCCATACATGTGAACAGATCGGCAGTGGGTGCATCTCCAGCACTCAATCAAACAAAAAACAATGAACACGATAAAAAAACAGCCTGCACCTTCATCACTTTTTTTTATTGTTGCCTCTACTTTCATTATTGATCGTTATACTTATTACAATTATTTGTATAAATCATATTTGGTAAACGATTGGAAATTTGTGCAGGAACGCAAAACACAGTAGCTCCTAGGTATTTGTATTTGCACAGCGGTGAAGTTGGGTTACAAGCAGCTGGCTGTGTGGCTTGTTGGGTGGCAGCTTCACTGTCGTCCTCCGGTGCTATATTATCGGTTTTGCAATCACGGGATTCTGTATTATATTGCAGTCCTTAACTGAGGTTAAGCCTGCAAGTTAAGGCTAGTTATTAATCGGGGTACTACTTTTCGCATTCAACCTGCAGGTAGAGTTCGGAAGTAATTTAGTAACCCTCTGCCTCGCTCGGCTTTCTTCGGAGACGTTCGGCTGTTGAGTGGGGAGGAGGGCCGGGATTGGTGGTTTCCTTGGAAACCAGGAACAGCTGGTTGGGCTCACTGCGACGTGAGGTCATTAAGTGTACCAAGTTTGTTATTAATCCGCCCGTCAGCCTCAGAGATCAAATGAAATAACTTAAAATAACAATGAGAACCTTTGGGAGCCGCTTCAGTATTGAGTGTGTTGAATTGAGATAACATTGCGACAGTCTTTCAGTTAGGATGCAGAAGTTTTAAATCTCCTTATGAAAAATCAAACATTAAAAACCGTACATCATGTGGTCTAGGCCTAATCTCTTTACAGAACTGCACCAAAAGTGTTGTAGCTCACGGTGGTTCCCAGCCCTGGATATAGGGAGTCCACTATCTGCTGGTTTGCATTCCAACTGAGTTCAAAATAACCCTAATTAGCTCTGGTTTTTAATTGAGATTGGTTGTTTCAATTTTGGGATAATATTTGCATCTTTTGACCTGAGTTAACTCTTAAACCTTTCTGGCTGCATACAGACCTTAACGTAGCCTCTCCAAAACTTGCTTACCATTGTTTCTGAATGAGGTGATCAATTGATGATGTTCAGACAGGTGGGAATGACAATGCAGCAGACATTCCCACAATGAAAGCCTAGTGCTACCACAGAGATCCCATTGGTTACATTTCAGACAACACACCTGAAAGGGGGCAATTCTGAAACTCAGAAATTGTGACAGGGTTGATACTACCTATAAACCCAATTTAACTGTTCAGGATCCGAAAGCAAATTTACAGCTATGACCCTAATGGACAACTGTAACCGATAAGCCTGTGAAAGTACCTCTCTGTAACTTTCCCTCTCGGCAAAATTGTTCAGAAGACGGTCGGGTGAGGGGGGTTGCAGCCTGTAGATTTACAATTTGGGATTTCACTATTTAGTTGTACCTTACAGTGTAAAATATGGTTTCCCTACACATTTTGCTGTAGAAGCCTAACAGTGAGTGAGGCAGTTGCATTCCTGTAGAGCATGGCTGTGCATGAAGGGTTCTGTTCTTTCCTGGGTGCAGATGAGGAGAGCTCTAGACAGAAGAGTATGCTGCAATAGCCCTCTCTGTGGAGGACTGGGTTATTCCAGCGTAGTTTATGTCACAGGCAGGGATATCGGGTTAAACTGTTGTCTTTGCTTGGTTAGCACAGTGCATGGCTTTCCATTACACCATGCGGTACCTCTCTAGGTGAAATGAAAGGAGGAACACAGCCTTCTCTGGTAAAAATTCCCCACTGTCCCCACCCCAAGCCACAGTGATGCAGCTGCACACAGGCACTGATAGAGTTATTAAATACTGCAAAAGAGCTGACAGACCTGCTCTCCCAATGAGGCATCTAACATGTCCCAGCATGATTCTAACTGACTACCGCTGTGCCTTCAGTCCTCCTATCCTCCAGCTGTGTACTGTATGTGTGTAGGCGATCAACCTGGAGACGAAATGTGAGACAGTGTCCCTACAAAGATGATAACCCCACACAGACAGTGTGGGGAAATCCCTATTGTGGACATTTCAATTGGTCTATATTTAAAAAGTCATTTTGTTTTCGAACCAAAAGGGCTGACATATGTCTTTCTGGCCTGATGACACTCTTTGGGAGGGTCCATTTTGAGTGGAGCAGTGAATTTAAATAGAATGAGGATCAATAGGAAGTCCCTGCAAATCGAGGAATGCAAAAGGTTGTGTATGTGAATGGAGAAGGGCTTTTTTAAAAGGAAACGGACTGGCAAAACAAATCTTTCTGGCATCTAATTTTCTGCTTTTTGTGAGTATTTACATGCACTGTTGGATGGGTTGTGGGTTCAATATCCTGCTGCCGATCTGCTGTTGTACCTTGAGTAAGCAGCTATATAAATGGGGGTCATCAGTGTCCTGCCGAGAGGGTAGAAAGCTACCAGTGTGCCCAGTTCAAATGCCTGGATTGCAAAGGTGAGAGCTCGCCGGTGTTCTGTTACCATCAGGCTCAAAATGCAAAGTTAATTCTGCAGGAAGAAAAGGAGGAAGAGGCCACTGCTTCTGTTTCTGCTGAATTGGTGTATTAGTTTCATTTCCAAGCAAGGTCCAGCAAGCTAGGAGACCAGAAGTACAACAGGTTTTGAAGTGAGACCGGGAGGGAAGGAGTGGGGCAGTGATTGAAGATTCACCTACATGCAAAACCATTTTAATCAAATGATGAACTCAATGGATTGCACGGTTTGAAATGACCACCTTCATTTTATATACTGACTTTCATGAAAGAGCATCTCAAGGTGCTGTCATTAAAACAAAAGCAGCCTTAATTGGATGAACACTGTATGGTATTCTCTGGAATTATTTTAAAAACTAATCAAATGTTCCAGCATAAAAAGCCTTAATCATGACAGGCGCTTGACCACTTTTTAATAATAAATATATCTAGGAGTACATTGTGTTGTGTCCAGTTGATCCTGTTCTGATATTGTTGTTCTTTGGACAGAGCCCTCTTCAAATTTGTTCTGTTCTTCTCTTTGGACTAAAACAAACAGGATGGAGAGGTGTGAATAAACTCAAGCGCTAAATTAAACCAAATTGAAAGTCAGAGCAAATGTGAGTTTTAAGACCAGACGTGAAAGTGGTGACTATCTTGCAAGGTTTGCTAAGGGCTACCACATCATTCCTCAGACCTGGACCACCTGAACAGAAAGCGCAGTTTTCCCAGGGTCTCTCAGGGTTCACAGCCTCAGACTGGGAAATGAAAGCAAGCCAGAGTCTGAAAAGAGTACATGACTTGTAAGTGTGTGGGGAGTCAACACTTCACTGATGGAGGCAGGAGCCAAAACTGTTCATGCCCTTATGCCTATAGCCAAACCGCTAATACAGAGGGCAGTGAATGCACCAACCCTGCTTGAGTCAGCCATTCCTTCCTCTTGCTTCTGAGCCCTGCCCATGTAATTGAATAGAATAATAGCTGCATGTTACCCTACTATGCAGTCCTGTGTGCAGTGATGGGTGGAGTGGTGGCTCTGTGGCTAAGGATCTGCGCCTGTGGCTGGAAGGTTGCCGGTTCAAATCCTTCGGAAAAGCAACCAAGGAAAAGCAGTTACAGAGATGCCTGAATACATCATGTCAACAGTGCGGTCACACCCATGTACATTTCCCATTTTAAATGCATATAAATTTGTATACATACATTTAAAGGCCTTTAAACAAAAGGCATAAGAAGGTATAGATCGAATAATACAACAAGTACCCTCTAGAGGTATAATGTCTTTTTAAGACGGTGCTGTCATCATGGATGATCGGGGTGGCTCTGTGGCTAAGGATCTGCGCCTGTGGCTGGAAGGTTGCCGATTCAAATCCCGCAGCTGGCAGAGGAATCCTACTCTGTTGGGCTTCTGAGCAAGGCCCTTAACCCCAGCTGTTCCAGGGGTGCCGTAT